CCAAGAATGGCAGCTTGATTTTTCAAAGCTGTTTTCTCCAGTGCCCTGTGCCATGTTTCTGTGCTGTTGATTGGCTAATATGACAATCCATTGAAACCAGTCAAAAGTACATCAAACAGACTCTAGTTTCTTGTTTTAGCTGTTGTTATTATAACAAAGTTGATTTCTTCTATTTGCACGTCATAACAGGTAGGGTGGAGGCCCCACGCCTCAAATGGTAGAAATATTGTTTTAGCGCAACATAACATAGAGAAGTGATAACAACAGCCACTAAAGTTAACATAAGAACAAGGAAATAAATAGCAGAAAAGTAAAATTTTCAGTATGTTCACATTAAATAATAATAAAAAGCTGTGGTTCTGTCTTACTGTTGGCTAAACATTTACTTTCTTAAATATTCAATAGGGTACCAGAATGTTATCGTTATCTGAAAACAAAAATAGGCATCATTCCATTTCTACATGGAGTCAACTTTCTGAGCTTGTGTAAGACACAGTATTAATTCAGAACCTCATAAAAAGCTTTTTCACCTCACATTGTTTCTGTCTCTTCAGCTCTGATCAATCAATAGAGGACACCTACGAGATAGACCGCTGCTGTAGACACTGCAAGGAAAATGGTGTCTGTATGCAAATGTTCTTTTTATTAATGCGTATGTACACTGCTCACCAAATTTACTGATACCTTATTTTTCACTGTTATTTTTTCAGTTCAGCAAGAAAAAAATATCTGCAAAGGTATTGTAAACATAAAACAGTAGTTTGCTAATACTTCTGTAAGACTCCAACAGTCTTCAATCGTACAAAATGCAAATTTTGTCTAAATAATGAATAATAATTTGACAGTTTTCTTTTTCCAAACTATTGTTAAAAGCATATAATAAAAAGAGAAGTGGTTTAAACATCTGAGAAAGTGTTGACGAGTGCTGACATCACAACAAGTGAATTAAATATGTGGGATATGTCATTATTCCCAAGGTAGTGCTTTTTCAGCGTTTGAACAGCCATTCTGTTTAATATGCTATTTCAAACTGACAAGGAAAACATGCTCAAAACCACGGTAGGTGCCCTCAAACTTCTGATAGGCAGTGTAGCTTTTGTTCTTGATCTACTGTGCGCAGAACAAGAGCAAACATTTGGTTAAGAAGCAAGAATATGTAAACGCCACAAAGCTAGTTTCTTCCTATAAATCAATATGGGCCATTTAGCCGAGCTACTACTGGAGCATCTAGTGTTATTTGCCAAGAGGCCAAGAGCACTGAATTGATTACCCCTCATGTCAAATATATTAAACATTTAATTTAATAAAGTAGCCATAATGTATTCAGGGAAAGTGTACTCTACCCTTTGAGAAAACAGTATTATGACGTATAGTATATTCACACACTGTACCTTGGAGTGATTCAACAGATTCATAAATGTTATGACAAAAGCTTCCCTGCCATTGTCACATCACATCAGGCCCTTTTCCAGAAGTGGATCCTCGCCTCATCTTTTCTCAAGTACCAAGACAGCTCCATAAAGCATAGAGTATCAATACTGGAGCATCAATAGGAATATGCCATGAAAACAATGAAATCAGAGCTGAACCACTTCTATTCCAAAGCAATTTCTCTGGTAAATCAGCAAACCAGACCAACTGTAGCCCCTCCATCTCCATACCCCTCTCCACTCCACTCCACTCCAATATAAACATATATGCGTGTGTGTGTGTGTTTGCAGTTCTGCACAAAAATCTGAGACTACCGTTCATTTACTTCATGCCCATTCAAAAAAAAATGATAATAATAATACACTTGCATAAAGAAGAATATCAATCTAAAATAAGTGAAAAACAGGAGTTTCCAAAAGTGGAGTTCAAAAAACGACTGAAGCAAGATGGCTTTTTTCCATAAAGTACATGTTCACTGCTGAGGTCTATTTGTAACAAGGCTGTAGCTGAAAGTCTTACAGAGAACACGGGACTCTTAACAACCATGCAAGACCAGGCAGACCACCAAAACTGTCACCATCAGATAAACAGTTCTAAAAGTGTTCATGTTTGAGAGACTGCTTCAGATCTGAAAAAAATCCACAGATGTTTTTGTGCATTTTTCCAGTATGAGAAGACAACACAATGCTATGGGTCTGAAAGGATGTGTAGCTGTCAAGCAGTGGTTTCAGAAAAAGTGAAATAAATAAAAAGAAGAAAATTTGTAAACCAAACAAGGAAGCTTCTGGAACAATGAACTGAACACCCCCAGAGTCTAGACCTTAACATCACCAAATGTGTTACTTGAGAAGCAGAAAATGCAATCAACTTCTGAGCCTAAATTGTTGAGGTGTAGAAAAACATCTGATGCAGCTTTCTTTGAAAAACTGAAAGCAAATTTCTCAAAAATAATTTAAATTTGAGGCCTGATAAAGGCAAAGAGTGGAGACACTAAATATTGACAAATATATACAACCCCATCTGCAAAAAAGTTGGGACACTGTGCAAAATGTAAATAAAAACAAAATGCAATGATGTGCAAATCATTTTAACCCTATATTTTATTGAAAATAGTACAAAGACAACATATCAAATGTTGAAAGTGAGACATTTTTTTGTTTTTTAAAAAATATTTGCCCATATTGAATTTGATGCCAGCAACACATTCCAAAAAAGTTGGGACCGGGGCAAATAAAGGCTGGTAAAATGTGTAATGCTAAAAAAAACACCTGGTGGTTAATTGCCAACAGGTCAGTAACATAATTGGGTATAAAAAAGCATCCCAGAGAGGCTGAGTCTTTCAAGTAAAGATGAGGAGTTCACCACTCTGTGCAAAGACTGCACAATCAAATAGTGCAACAATTCAAGAATAACATTTCCCAATGTAAAATAGCAAAGAACTTCTGCTTTTCATCATCTACAGAACATAATATCATTAAAAGATTCAGAGAATCTGGAGAAATCTCTGTATGCAAGGGACAAGGCCACAAACCGATATTTGCTGGCCGTGATCTTTGGGCCCTCAGGTGGCACTGCATTAAAAACAGGCATCATTCTGTAGTGGAAATTACTGTAGGGCTCAGAAACACTTCTGAAAACCACTGTCTGTTAAAACAGTTTGTCGCAGCCTCCACAAATGCAAGTTAAAACTCTCAAATGCAAAGAAGAAACCATATATAAACAGGATCCAGAAATGCTGCCACCTTCTCTGGGCCCAAGCTCATTTAAAATGGACTGAGGTGAAGTGGAAAAGTGTCCTGTGGTCTGAAAAATCAACATTTGAAATTCTTTTTGGAAATCAAGGTCTTCCGGGCTAAAGACCACTCGGCTTGTTATCAGTGTACAGTCCAAAAGCCAGCGTTCATGATGGTATAGGGGTGCCTTAGTGCACATGGCATGGATGACATGCACATCTGTGAAGGCACCATTAATGCTGAACGATATATACATGTTTTGGCAACAACTGCTGCCATCCACACAACATATTTTTCAGGGAAGGCCTTAATTATTTCAAAAAGACAATGTCAAAAACCACATTCTGCATGTATTACAACAGCACTGCTCTGTATTACAAGAGTCTGAGTGCTAAACTAGCCTGCCTGCAGTCCAGATCTGTCACCCACCGAAATATTTGGTGCATTATGAAATTAAAAATACAACAAAAGAGCCCCCGAACTGTTGAGCAGCTGAAATCCTGTTTCAAACAAGAATGGGAAAACATATCACTTTCACAACTACAGCAGTGTCTCCTCAGTTCCCAAACGCTTACAGAGTGTTGTTAAAAGAAGAGGTGATGAAACACAGTAGTAAACATGACCAACTTTTTTGGAACGTGTTGTTGGCATCAAATTCAAAATGGGCATGTATTTTTCAAAAAACAATAAAATTTCTCAGTTTCAACATTAAAAATGTTGTATTCGTAGTATTTTCTTTTAAAAATATGGTTTACATGATTTGCATATCATTGCATTCTATTTTTATTTACATTCTGCACAGCATCCCAACTCTTTTGGAAATAGGGTTGTAGTATATTTCTGTACAATTGTCTGTTTTTTCTGATGCTCAAAAATGAATAAATTATACTTAAAGGCTGTTTTGACTGGAAACTAAATAAATAAGAGGGGTCTCTGACTTTTGCACAGTAATGTACATGTACAAAAATCTGCTACTAGAGCGTAGCCTGTCACTGCACCTACTGTGCAACTTACTGTCAGGCACAAATAGTTGTCATTCTAACTGTTCTGATTCTATTGGGTAAAGGAAATTGCAACTGGAAAGGCACAGCTATGTTAATTAAAAAAAAACAACAAATGATGCAGTCATAAATGTGTCTTGTAAGTTAGTGCCTGCCAAGAGTTAGAAGGCACTTGTAAAATTGCATATTACATAACAAGTATTATTTTATAACTACAGTTTTATAATACCTTTGACATTAACACTGTATATTTAGACTACTGATAATACTATTAATCCAGTTAGTTCAGTAAATACGGTACCCATATAACACTAGAAACTTTGACATCTGTATCAATTGTGATGCAGTAACCCTTCAAACTGAAAGGGCCCATCCCTTTGCTCTCATGATTACACAACTTAAATATCAGTTTAATAGTAGTTACTGAATAATTTATAGTATTTACTAAATAATATATAAAGTCTGGAACAGCTGGAGACACATTTGAAGATAAACTGTGCAAAGTTTAAAGCTGGCTTTAAGGGTAAAGTAACAAGAAAAAAAAACAACAGCATAATTAGCAAGTCCTCTCTAATTATAATCAGCACGTTGACTGTAAATATATGCGCCCCAACCCTCGCATACTTACTCTTTGACTGAAGCAAGATGGCTTTTTTTGTAAAGTACATGTTCACTGCTGGGGTCTATTTGTAACAAGCCTGTAGCTGAAAGCCTTCACTTCCAATTAGTTCTCACAAAGAAAAAATATTATCTTATGCTAAGATGTTGTAACATTATCATGAGCCTTTGCTTTGTACCTGTCTGCTATCTGAAAGTCTTTGAAGGGTTGCTTTACCTGTACTCCTCTTGAGTGAAGACAGGGATGATCGAGGGCTGCAGGACGGTAATTTCCACCAGAGTCTTATTGAACTTCACTGGCTCCCCGTCGTCATAAGCAATAACCGCCAGCTACATGAGGACAAGGGAAAATCAATTTAAGACAAAACCAGAGGGGTCACGAAAAAGTAATACAGGGAACAAGACAATCTTCCTGAGGCAGCGGAAACAGGATATGGCCCTGCAGACAATGGGTCCTGCAGAAGAAGGACTGCTTGGAAAAAGCTTACGCTTCCATGTTCTAATGACAAACTTGGGGCGAGCTATGTACTCACATTGAATTTGGTGTTGGGCTCCTCATTGAGATTGACCCTGGTAAGGATGCTGCCTGTGTCCTTGTCCACGTCAAAGATGCTGGTGCTGTAGGGGAACTGCTCCAGGTCCACTCGGTAGTGCACTCGACTGGCTGGAGTGTCCTGTGAGGTAAAGCACAGTTGAGCTCCTATTTTAGCAAACCCACCCCCCTTGCCTTGCACCAACAGTGTGCAGATGTTTTGTCTGGAATAAATACATTGTCCAAACGTCTTTCTAAATGCTGAATTAAGCTACTTTAAGGTCTTTGCTGACACATGCATTCAGTTGCGTACACACGACTTGTATAATCTCCATAGAAAAGCTTTGAAAATTAAATGCTCTGGAACAGCCACACGTCAGCATTGGGCTAAGGAGCAGCAGAATTGCATTCTCAGGAGTGATGGAGCACCACAGAATATCTTTCGGTTGGAGCTGGACTGGTGTTTGTTATCCTGAACTAATCATTCAACATCAGCACTTGACCTTACTCACACTCTTGTGGCTGAATCAATCAAATCCTCTTAGCAATGTTACAACATGAAGCCTTCCCAGAAGAGTAGAGGCTGTTACTGCATCAAAGGGATGAGTAGGTGTTTACAACTTTTGTATGTACAGTGTGTGCTGCTGTATCAAAATGCTTACAAGCAAAAAACTGCCAGCCAACACCGCAGAGACATTTTGGCTAGAATTACGCTGCTATTTCAAAATGTTGATGGGACAAATTGACAGAACAAACAGCAGATGTTTTGTCTACAATTAATATATTGCTATTTCAAAATATTCACACATCACAAACTGCTAATCAACAGCTTGAAAATGTTATGTCTTTTAAAATACATTGCTATTTTCAATGTTCACACAGCTGCTATGTATTAGCATGTATTGTCTAGAGCACCTCAACCTGTCCTGGAGTACCACTGCCTTGCACATTTTCACTGCTCCCAAAACACCTGAGTTAGGGCAGTGAGCTTCCAGGACCAGGATTGAGAACCACTAATAAGACTAATAAGTCATTATTTCAAAACATTTATTCATCACAAACTGTTAGCCAATGGCATTTTGTATCAAATAAATACAGTCATATGCAACAATTTGGGCACCCCTAGTCAAATGACGTTTTGTTGATTTGAAAAGTTAAGATATCCTCTACAGACATGCATTTTAATGCGTAATTACTGTTGGGCTAACAAAGTATGCAGAGAAACAGATGGACTACAGTCTGTAATTGTGGAACTACAAAGTGCACCTATGTAGTAAGTGGAGCTGATAAAATGGACAATGAGCGCAGAAACAAGGATGTGGTCATAATGTTATACCTGATCGGTGTATGTGTATGTGTGTGTGTATACAGTGCACCTCACAAACATGTTGCTGGGTTGAAACAATGCCACCAGTTGCCAAGAACTAAATATGTTGCTTTTCAGTTTCAGGTGCTAGTTTGTCAAACCGACACATTAAGCATCTATAGACTGAGTATGAGAGTTAAACTTGACATTCTGTACCTGATTTGCATTTGTTGTGAGCCACCCTGCTGTTTTTCACTGAGCCGCTGTGCTGCGCTGGCCTGACATGCAGCGACGTGGTGTTGTGACCCCGCTGTGCCCGACACAATATGGAGAGCGAAGGAGAGTGATAAATAAAGTCTACGGGTGGGCTGAAAGCCCTGGGCATAGCCACAAGCCCACATCCAAGCTGTGCCAGCCTTGTCGGAGGCTGGTGCGAAATGCGCAAAATGACTCACAGAATAATTATGGGGCGCTTGGGGTGAATAAAGGAGGCTGCGAGGATTAAGAGTGCGGCTATAATGCACTCTCGCTGTGTGTGTTGCGCCTTGTCAAACTTGGAGATCTCTTTCATTCATGTCCTTTTCATCACCATGTCTGCATCCTGTAGATTCTGATCAACATCAGTCGTGTTTCCCTGCGGTCCTCATTTCTCTCTTTCTCTTTAATATATTACATCTTCCCAGTTTAGAGAGACTTGCACACATAATTGTAGATGTAATTACGTCTTCGAAAAAAAAAAAGGTTAGACATATTAAAAAAGAAAGTTTTGTTGAAAGTGTTGTATATTAGTATATATTTTTGAAAAGTGACTTGTGTCAGTTCGGTTTTCCTTTAGCATGAGTAAAGGCAGCTTCATGAATAAAACATGTGCTGACAGCGTTGTGGAAACTTTGGATGCCAATATGAAGAGGCAGCTGACAGATGCTTTGAAAATAAGGAGCGTCCACTGGCTAACTGACGGAAAGCCCATAAACACCATTCCCACTTTGTTGGAAATGGAATCATTAGCAAAAACAGCGTTGATTATTTGATGTCCGGATGCAGCTTTGCATCTAAATCGCAGTTTCATCATTCTTCCTTCAACCGCACTGAGAGAAATAATTCAAGCTGACAAAAATAAGAGCTTTGCCTCGCAGGCTGTGATTGGTGACGACTCTTTATATGTGATCAATTTATTAATCCATGCTACATTTGACTTTAAATGCTTCTGGACGAACGGCTGTTGTAAAAGCTGTTCAAAGCAAACAAATCAAAGATGACAGCACTTTTGATAATGGCACTTCATACATATCCAATAAGCCACAGGAATCAAGAGAAATAGGACATCTACGGAAGCTCAGACAGCCTAAAAAGAATGGTATATACTAGGGATGCACGAATATGGCAATTGTGGGCCGATGCCAATATCCAATATTTTTCATGTACATATCTGCTGATGCCCATGGTCATGCAAAAATATGCAGCAACTACAATAAATACAGTACTGTGCAAGATGCCTAAGACTTTTGTAAGCCTTCAATACTAATAATATCAAATCTATCAGTATTTAATTTGGCCACTCTCTTTTGTGCATTCTACTGCCAGTATAACTCTTCATCCCTCTAGTCTTAAAATCGAGTTAGAGCTATCCTGCCAACAAAAGGTTCCCACAGGTGTCACTGACATTATATTCCCCTTCAAAGACACACTAACATTTACACAAACAACTACCCAAACACACCTTAGCTGCCTCACAAATGTTTCTCTAATTACCATCTAATTCTATAATTCTGATGGAGATTAGCTATAAGATAGCTTGCTTGCATAAGGATGGGGAAAGACAAAAGAAAATAAGTGAAAAACAGAAGTTTCACAAATGACACTTCTAATAACTGTGCAAGACCTGGTAGATGACCAAAACTGTCACCATCAAATAAAACAGTCTATAAAGCTCTCATCTTTGAGAGAGAAAGTCAAGCTCTACTCTTTTTTCACATCTGAAAAAAATGTTATTTCTGTCCATCCGTCCACTGTGAGAAGACAGACAAAAAATAACAAAAATGCGCACTAGAACACCAAAACTGGACCTCTGAGATGTGGAGATTCAATGGACTGATGAGTCTAAAGTTTACACAAATTGTCATAAGCAGAAAATGCAATTAACTTCTAAGACTGAATTTTGGAGGTGTGGAAAAATATGCCTGCATGTTTCCTTGAAAAACTGAAAGAACCCCCAAAAAGAATGGAAGCTGTATTAAAGGCAAAGAGTGGACAAACTATATACTGAAAAACTTGATATTATATTTAGTTGTTGAGGCTTCTGTATAATTTTAATGTTTTAATGTAATGTTTGTAAACCTGTTTAAAGTGATCTCTGCTCTTTGCACAGTACTGAACACCATTAGATCACATCTAAATGTCAGTCTGTTGGCAATTATTTCTTTAAAGCCATTATTTGACAAAAACGATGTGAGTCCAATATCATTCTGCATGCCTAGAAACCATAAACTAATTCAGTACAGCTTTAACAAATAATCAGTGTTTGCCTTTTTTGATGTAAACGTGTCTAGTGTTACTAGTGCTCAGTGTAGGAATAAACAGACAACAGCTGTGAGATACAGAAAAAATAGCATGTCTTTAACACGGCATATTGCACAGCATATTGGAAAGCATTTACATCAAACAGCTTGCCTGGATGCATGTTATTTTCTCAGAACGTGAGCATATGAGCTCACACAGGACCCATGAAACATGACTGAGTGCTTCCTTTAAAGTTTGGAGTTATTACTGTCATTTTACTAATTACTTTTTATTATTTAAGTAGATACTTAATTACAAAATTATATGAGTTACACTGACATATGACATGCTTTATTTACAGGTTCAATTCTGCACTCTGCATTTCTTCTGTTCTGACATCAAACAGTATCATAAACACAGCAAAATTACAAAGGATTCTCTTCCTTTCTGCAAAGACTGTGTGCACAGAATTAAATTCAAATCATGACAAAATATCTTCTCTTTTATTTAACAAACACAAAGGAGAAAAACTAAAACTAAAACTAAGAATCCACATTTTTGGCAAAGGTCTTCACTCATTAATTAACTATGAGCAAGATAATCGAAATAACTACATCTTTTTTTTATTTTTTTACTGCAGCGATGCGTGACCTCTAAGAGTTAACTGTGAAACTGTAAGGTCACACAGGGCCTCGTATCTGCACTTAGCTTCTCCTCAACAAATACCCCTCTGTGGAGGTCATGAGTGCTCTTTCAGGTCCAGCGCTTGAGTTAAACCCTGCTGTGTGGGGACCCACAGGCTGGACCACTGCAGGGGAGAAAGAGACTGAAAAAGGCTTACACACATTGACAAGACAGAGTGACTGACAGACAGATGGATGACTCTGTCTGGCATCTACTGCAGAAGACCTGAACCACAGAGCTAGTTGGAAAGACGGCACCACTTAGCTAAAGAAGAAAAAACACAAGAATGTGTGAAGTTTTCAGTCCTACCAGAGACATTACAAAAGAGGAGAGAGATCATTATTGGAAAATCAAAGGGAAAACTCGTAACACTCAACATGAAGCCTGTTAATAGGGAAATAAAAAGAACCAATCAGCTTGCTGGTAAGCGTAGAACCAGGACAACCCCAAAAAACATGTTTTTTTGTGCATTACTGAGCCAAACGCTGAACTAATTAATGAGATTTTTGACTAATTTCACCTGTGATTTCAAATATTTTTTTTAAAAAAGTAACTTGGCCTTTTGGCCAGTTTTTTTTTTTTCGGCTTTTCCCCTTCCGGTAAGACAGGAGGCTGGTCTTGTATGACTAGAAACAACTGCCCAGGGACATTGT